CTCAAACACTGACAACAAGATCTAGGACTTTCTGGGGCCATAGATAGTGTCATCAAATTTCTGAAGAGCACCTCAGTATCTGATAATCTTTCTGATCCTTTAATCTACTCTTCATGTCCTTTATTAATACCATGAAGTAATAATTATTAGGCCAACAGATTAGAAAGCAAAGTATCTGGGATTAATTCTGACCTTCAATCACTTGCTAGGCACCATCAGTAATTGACTTTTTTTCCTCTATTTCTCTCTCATTCAGTTCAACCATTAAGGAAAGTTAAGAACCATTTACCACACCTAAGTGTGTTTGTGTGGCAGGGTTCTACTTTTGCTCTGATCACCCCCATTGCATGGTTACACAGTGACACTTTTGGAGATGGCTCTGAATTTCCATCATGTTGTTTATGATTTTCTCTGCTTAAACATGAGGCCCATATTCCAACATGAGCCAGGGAAGACCTATGTCTAGGTACTGATATGATATTCAGAAATGATTCACACTAGATAGCCTTGTAAATCTGAGTCTAGAAAAGTAAAAAATTATCCATCGAGGAGTCAGAAATAGTACAGTCATTTATTCTCTACATCAGTTTAGACAGAGATGTCTTTTAATTCAACTCCATTAAGACATGATTATTTGTATTATACCATTCACTACAGATACTGGAAGGTGGTGTTTGGCTTACAATAACACTTAACATTCAAATAGAGAGGAAAAGATTCCTTCTAGAGAAAGGATCAAGAGATAGATAATGCAAGGCTAGGAAAAATGAAACCAGAAGGAATTAGAAGCCTGTGAAGGGATGGATTCACCAAAAAGGCAGAAGCAATAGGTGTGCTAGAACAGAGAAGCACGAGGTCTCCAGGCCATGGAGAAGCTGAATCCCACTCAGCTGGACACCTCTGAAGAGTCAGGGTGCCTTGCTCCGGATCACACGGGAAGGAGGCAGCAACGCCAGCGGCAGAGGTGCACCAATGACACCACACTGACTCAAGGCACCACACCAAGACACAGCCGAGCTCTGAACCATGAGAGAGAGCTTCTTTTGCAGGGTGAATTTACCATGCTTAGAATAAGAGCAGTGTACCAAAAAAACTGAGACAAGAAGCACGAGTGCTAGGACACAGATGCAGTTCCCCCCACCCCTGGCCTTGCAGCAGTTGTAACTGCAGTCAAAAAGTTTAGGGCTCTTTTGTTTTGGGACTTTAGTTTAGTTTAATTGGGGGTGGAGGTTGAAGGGGTGAGGGTGAGCTGTTAATTTATTTTTTAACTAATGCATCTGATCCAGAAGACTTCAAGCATTAAAAAGTACAAGAATTCAGTTCCAGACTACATATTTCCTATGCCAAAAATAAAAAAAATAAAAATAAAAAAAAATACTCATTATCAATGAGTAACCACATCAAACAAATAAACCACTGTAGAAGGTTACTCTAAGTTTTAAGACTGTCTCAAGTTTGTTAAATACCAAATTAGTACTATCCATGGTATTTTCCCAATTGTTTTATGTGAATACTTTCCAGGTTCCACCCAACATCAGGATCTGGCAAAGATATTGAAATGAAGCCAGAAGGACACTTTAATGCTCTTTCCAGCTTCCATTCAGCTTCTGGCATGCAACTTCTTCAGCTGTCTGTGGGAAGAGAAGGATAAAGTGCCAGCAAAAAGAGCACAGGAATGACAGCAATTGGTCAAAGACAGCTCAACAAGGAGACCATTTATGACATTCAAAGCATCAGACAGAAGTGGAAAAGAAAAGCACATCCTAATGTGGCACAGTCACACTAGATGTGATCATTCTGATTTTACCTATTGTTCCGTAGCATGAACCTGCACAAGACCTAGGCATTTGGCTGTTTTGTGAAATTAATGTGTCCATAATTGACATTTTGAAGACACATTAGCAAAGGCCCATCTTAGATACATTCATGAAGCTGAATCTGCCTGGTATTTAGTGTTTTTTCAACCCTTGAGTTCATTGTCAGTCAAAAATCTCCAGTGCTGCTTTGGAGCAGATGCAAGAAGAGCAAGAAGGGCAGAGAATTTGGTTGAATACTGGTAGTAATCTGACACAGCTGCTTTGTAGCAGCTCATTAGTGGTTTCTGACTGCTCTAAGGAAAGTTGGTAGATATTTATTTGGAATGAACACATATGGGAACAATAGAATCATAAAAAAAAGGCTAAGAGAAAAATAAAATAATAAAACAATGTGCATACAGTTGTCCAACACAGTTGGGCTTGGGTACAAAATACACTTGATGTTCCCTTTCCTGTAAAAATAAGGATACAGGTGAAAGGAGTTATGTCTCAAGTACAGTGAGCTTATAGTGGAAAAGAAGTAGCAAAATATTCATTCCCTCTTGACTTACAAGTTCAAGAATCTCAGTTGTCCAGCAGCATAGGTAAATCTTCCTCAAATCCAAGCTCCTTTTTCTGCCCACAAATGAAGATGGTAGTTTAATATCCTTTCTCCTTCTCCATGGAACTATGCCATGCCCTCTTGCAAGCTTTTCTTCACAGAAGAAGTTCATAACAAGAGAAACTGGATTTACGTCTAAACCTTGTGTGACAGACAAGATTATTATTTTCTTTTATTTTTTCTACATTTCATTGTTCCTCTAAGAATTAGGTGGACAACTTGAAGAGGGGTGTAAAAGACTGTGCTTGGCAGACACAAGGCAAGATTAGTGAAAGAAGGCCAGAGGGATTACAAGATGCAGCAGGACCAAGGGTTGCAGCACAAAACTTCATATAAGGGACAGAGGCACTGAATTGACAATGGTAGGGACAAGCCTGTTAAAACAGAGCAGACAGAAGAACTAAGAGGGAGTAGGAGCAGGGGAAAAGTTTAAACCTGTCATGCCTCTTCTTACCAACCATATTTCATTCACTCAAAAAGTTATTTACTTTATTTTTATTTTTATTACTTGGTTGAATTTTTTTTTTTTTATTTTATTGTAATTACACACTGCCTTCTTCTTAAAAGCATGTGAGACCATTTTATGGAAATCATAGGAGGTCTAAAGCAATCTTTTGTCACAAAGTGTGCTCTTACAGTTTTCAAGGATAACTTCCTTAAGTGTGAGAAAGGCTACAATGAAAAAACAATCAAGAGAATATTGTTTTTCCTAGGTTTTTTCTGAAGTTCAATTTTTCTTATCTTTTTTTCCCGTCTGCAGATATAAATTAATGAAGAGATGGTAACTCTCATGGAACAGATGTTCCCTACAGCTGAGGAAGGTGAAGAAGTACAAAGATAAATATCTTTGTCAAATTACAGGATAGGGAGAGACTTCATCTAGATGTTTTTCCAAGACATGTCTCTCAAAATGTCCAGATTTTCTTCCATGGGTCAGTTTTAACATTGCAACACACAATTCACTTCAGAGCCATAAGATTTTTTTTTTCTAAATAAACTCTTTTGTTCTTCCCTTTTCTCCCCCAGGGTTCATAGAACAATTCAGAAAGGACCTCTGAAGATCATCTGATTCCCTGTTCAAAGCAGGTTACTCAGAACCTTGTCCAGGTGAATTTTTAATATCCCTGAGGATGGATATTTCATCTCTCTCTGAACAATTATTTTAAATATTCGACTACACCTTGATGTGAATATGATTTTTTCTAATGCCTCACAATTTCATTTGTTGCCACTTGTGTCTGTTGCCTCTTAGTTCTTGCTATGTACTTTCAACCAAGTGTTTGTCACAAGGTCTCCCTTTAGCCTTCCCAAAGGCTGAATAAAGCCTGCTCTCTACTCTTGTGCTTCATGTGCTACAGGTCTCTAATGATACTGGTGACCCTCCCATGGGCTCATTCCAGTGCATGGCCACACTTGTTTCATATCCTCCTGCATGTTTCCTAGGAATCTCAGGTCCTTTTTTGGAATAGTTGTCACTTAACCTTAAAGCAGGGGAAAAAAAATAAAATCATCTTAGGTGGGCACTCTTGTGAAAGATCTACTGCTTTTCTTTGGCAGGGTCTTAGAGTCCTATCAGTCCTCTTCCTGAAAAGCTTCTGTCTGGTCTGAAATTGTGGAAAGATGATTGGGCAAAGATACAAAGAGTCTCAAAAATGCCCTTAGAATACAGAAACTACAATTGCAGCACTCCTGCATGTGTTATTTGGGTTATTCTACCATAAACTTGCATGACAAGTAATGAATCTAAAGTAATTTCATTTGTTTCATTTACAAATAACTTTGGGCTGAAAAAAAAACTATTTAAAATGTTGATTCAAAAGGTCAGCTAACCAATACTTATTGTAGCCAAGGGACTTTTAGCTTACATAATACCAAGACACAGGAAGAATTTACAAAGAAACTCTTTTGACAGAAAGGCCTTCTGGGGAAAAGATTATGCTGTCCTCATCATACACTTAAAAAAAAAAAATTGCCTATTATTAATTAAAATATTTAAGCAACCTTTACAACGTATTTGTTAAACATTTTCATGTTTCATGTTGAACATTTACATTCCTGTGTTCACTCACTCAAGTTTGCATGTCATAGATAAGTCTTCCCAGAGTTAACTAGCATAAAAAACTATGATACTTGTAGTAAAACTAATGGAGCCAGGTGGTGTTTATATGAACCTTTGACCTCCTCCCACAACTGTACCTAGCACTGCTTATCAAGATTAATCAAATCACCACCTCAGGCCTTGTCCTGGGGGTAAACAACAGTACACTTTTCTTCCAGGTATGGAAAGAAAACAGAGGAATTCAAAAAGTTGATAAATCAGAAATGTACTTTGCATTTGTTTTTCATCACAGGATGCCTTATTGGCATTACATTTTCTTATCTTGCCATGTTTTCTTCTTGTGTGATACTTAAAGGCTGTAAGGTCTGGAAGCAGACTGCTTCCCATTTAAGTGTAATGCACAGAGTTCATTTCAGCAGGCATGTGCAATGTACTCCAGCAATAAAACAGCCACTGAGACCTCCGAGATTCTTATCACACTCAATAATGGAATTCAATAACTGCACACTTTGTACAATAAGACTTTAAGAAGTTATTTTCATTTCAGTCAATTTAAAAGCATCAATAGGTATGACAGCCCACACATCTGAATGGACTCCCCAGTATACTGAATACAGAGAAGAGGTACTTTAAGTTCTTGTACATCATAAATACACCATAATTTATCTGGATTTTTAGAGAAATTTTACATAGATTTTTCTTCTCTTACATATTTTAGACATTTTATATGTATCTTAAGACTCCACACTTTTAAGATGACAGAGAGTAGTCCATAGCAAAATAAGTTTCTTTTTCAGAATTAACAGCACTTTCAAACATCCTCAGTATTCTGCTCAATACAGTTGGTACCAATCCATGTGTGAGACAACTGTCTCCTGGTGACACCAAAATCCATTCTTCAGAACCCTCAGGATTTCGATAAAGGGCTGTAACTGAGGAAATATTCAAATTACAGTGTTAGGCTAGCCATGGAAATGCTTCAGTGTCTTGTAAATAATGCTTTCAATAAAAAAAAAAAATATAAGGAAAAAAATAAGCTTTTGGTTTGCTAAATCTGGAAAGGTATTCTGACCATGGCAAAGACAGGAGTTATTTTATTACTCATCTGTTTTGCACCTACTGCTCTCTGTAATAATAATAATAATATCACACTGGCACAACAGAGCAAATAAATCCCAATGTTTTTATATGAATGTTTACTTTCCACACATTTTCCTACCACCAGATAACAGTGCCCTGGGTAGGGGCTGGACCATGTGGCTACAGCAACTCTACTATTCCAAAAGACCCACAGATGGGTTATTCCTTCTGAAAGAGAAGTACCTTACCATGAGGCAGAAGAGGTAAGAACTTGCACACACACTCAGTTTCCAGGGGCCAGCTTGCTCTTTCTGCAGGAAGATCCCTCCACCACCAGTTTGTGAGTTTGCACCACTGACCTCTGTGAGTGGATCAATGCTTTGGTTTTGAAAACACTCTGTAACAGACGTTGTCAAACAGCAGTTCCACAGAAAACCATTAGTAAGAACAGTATGTTAAGAGGAGGTTGACACTATTTGATATAAAACACTCAAGGATTTTTATCGTTTTTTCAGCCACAAAGAAGAATCACTTAGAGTTTATGAGCGAGAATTTTCCAAAAATGAAGAGTTCCAACCCTCTCCAAGTAACAAAACAACACAGCACTCAGAACTGGAAGCTGACATGATAAATTTCAGCTGGGTAAAATTAGAAATGCCTCACATGTGGGAGCTTTGGAATTGAATTTGCCTGGAAAAAATGCTAAAATTCTAGGTACAAACACTTGTTTTAAGAGGTTTAAAAGTACCTCACTATCACAGACATTTATTTTCAATGCTTTACAAACTACAGTGAGCCTGAATTTTCTGTTCAAGGCTTGTATTCATACTTTGTTACAAGAAACACCCATTTTCCTAAACTATTTTTGTGGGATTTTTTTGTTTGGTTGGCTTGGTTTTTTTTTTTAATTTGCAATTACATTTTCTGTTAGGATTAGGTAAACATCCAACCTTTGCTTTCCATCTTCATACATTTCTTGCTGAAAAATCAAAGCGTGCCTCTCCCTGGTTCTCTTCTTTCTCTGATATTCACAGGCAATGGTTGCTGACAATAGTCACTGGAAATCCACAAAACATACAGGTGACAGCTTTCAAGCACAAAGGCAAGGCAGTGTATTAGAACCATCCACACATGTGCATTTCACACCTGCCAAACAGAAATGTACAACGGATATTACTGTTTAATAATATGCACATTTTCAAACATCTAACGAGCCATTACCAACAATGGTGGGTATCAAAAATTTAAACTTACCAATGGTAAGCAGCATTACCTTTTGAATGAAAAAGAGCTAAAACACAGAGCTAGCAGTTTTAACTGTGAAATGAGTTCTCACTAGAACTGTCTGTTGTTTATGATTTACATATTCCAAGAGTTTTTCTGCAATGAAGCCACAAAACCACCAGGCATTTACCCCTATTGGCTTTTCTGGAGTTCATAGATGCATAATCAGGAAATAAGTTGTCCCACTTTTTACATCAGTATCCTGCTTATGCTCCCCTCAGCCTTATAGGGAAGAAAAATTTGGTCATATCTCAAAGTTGCTGCAAGCCTTGTTCCTTTGTCACTGCAGTCAGAGTGACAAATGCAGTCTTGGAACTTCTCATTCAGGACGAATTTTAGTAGAGATGGATATTTTCTGCAGAGTCCTTCCTGTGGATCAGCTCTATGCCATTGTATAGCTCCTCCTCATACCTACAGTATTTCACCTGGATTCACCTACATCAAGCCTTGTTTTGTCTAAAGCACCTTTCAAAGGCTTGTGGCCTTTTTATGAAACAAGAGAAAAAGGTATTATCTCTATGTAGTCTGTTTCAACTCATAATCATGCTAACTACAAAATACATTCCTCTTTCTCATTTTAATTTCTTTGACCAACACAGCATGCTGGTGCTGAGTTTCTCTCTAAATCAGGATCTCTGTTCCTTCCCAACTTTAACATAATTTGGGCACTACTCAGTTTATTTTTGAATTAATTGAATGAATTATGGAGCATTTAAAATGTACTTCCATAAAATGTTTGCCAGTTTTAAATTTCTTTCTATCATACTTTTATTACTTTTTTTTGTATTTTTCTTTACTTTGCTAACCTATGACAGAATCTAATACCAGTCTTCATGGTTCTGCAGAACACCAGAATGCCACACCCCATCCTAAACAGGCTGCTGGTGCCTGTTCATAGCAGTTAAGAGCTGAAGCAAGCAATAGTCACACTGCAAATAAAGTTGCAACGTTTTTCTCACTACAACACAATAATAGCTTTTACTGATCACACTCTACAGCATTTGCATGTTATATTGATCATCATTCACTATTTGAACCACAGTGCTTATGAGGCAAAAAAAACCCAAACTGATAAAAAAAAAATCCAACAACATAAACCCATAAAATGAGCTTCACTGTGCTTGGAAACTATCAATTATGAAATGCCAAGGACTACCAAAGAGTCATTTTCTGAAACATAAGAATCTTGCATTTTGTCATTGCTCTGTGGAGAAGGAAGGTCAGCTTTATTTTTTAGAAGGCAAAAATCTAATCCAGGGCTATGAAATAAATTACTAGAACTCATAGTTTTGCCTTACAGAAAAACCACCTTCCAAGGCTCACCTTGTAAGTTACATTTCATTTATTCTGAGAAGTGTATCTCTCCCAGCCTCTTTATGAAGCTACAAATGTCTTGATAATAATATCAGTTAAATGACAAACTAGAGCAATGGTGTTTAAAAAAGAAACCCAAAACACCACACTTCTCAATTTCCCTCCCTGTATTTTTTAGCAATAGAAATCAAATTAATATCTTTTAATCAGTTCCATATTCTTTGCCTTGAGCAATACAGGTGCCCAAAATGCAGATGAAATTTAGAGTTCATACATACTTTCAGAGGTCATGTGTTTTGTGGTTGTTCCTTTCTTCTCCTTTCTAGTAATCTAAAAGACCCTTGGCTATAAATTGCTCCTTCTAGCAACCACATGCCAGGATTTTGCTGGCTATTTTTATTCATTAATACCAGCTGCCTCACAGTGCCTGGATGTAACAGCAAAAATATGTATATATGTTTTAACCATATGGTAAAAACTGATGAAGACCTTTTATGTAGGATAATCCATATACCCAGAGTATATGAATCTCTTATGCAAAGGCCAGACTAAAAGGCCTGTTCTCCACTTGAACCTTCAAGGACTCACATCACTACAAGTTTCTGAGCCAAATCCAAAAGTGCCTGTTTCTAATGCTCCCCTGAAGTCAGAAGAGAAACTCCTGCTTCCATCAGTATGTATTTTCTGCTCAAGTGGTGAGCAGAAACTTCTGTTTGGGGTAGATTTTACTATTGCACTTAAAGATAAAAAGGCATGGGCTTCCTTCTAACAACCATTTGTCATGCTACACTTTGGTTCCAAAAGTGTTCCGTTGCCATCATTGCTAAACAAATAAGGTTTACTTTGAGATTATCTAATATCAAAGTTTACCACATAGATAAAAATTAAAATAGATGAGATAGTTGCAAAAATAATATATTCAAAGCACAAGTTCTAATAATCTGAAGTATTAAATAGACTCAAGGACATTAAATGCTAGCACATAATCAAATACAGAATGCTTTACTTCAGCTCATAATAGGTTTGCACAAAATAACAAGCTTTGTACCTCTTAACCACAATAGTCCTGAACACAGAGTCATAGGAGCACATCAGAACAAAATGCAAAAAATCAAACTAGAGAGGCAAATGTGACTGACAGAAGAGTAACAAAACAAGATGATGAAAAAGTAACGGATGGGTTTAGTCAGAAATACTAGCTGGTTCTTTAGATAAATTAATTCCTGAAAACTATATTGATTTCTTTTTCAAAACGTTACAGACTATTCTACATGTCTTTTTTTTTATTACAATTTCCATTATTTTCAATTCGTGACATTTTTATTACATAACAATAGAACAGGATTTTTATTGGGGGTTTTTTTGTATGCACAAGTGCATATATTCATGAGTTTTCCTTCATATCAGTCTCCCATTTCCTCCTTTACTACTGCTTCCAGGTATAAAACATTTCTAGTTATATAGCCAAGATAATCTCCAGCATAGGAGAAAAGGACAATCCAGCCCTATGAAATCTTGAGCATTCATTTGAGCTGCAGCTTAATTTAAAAACCAGACATGGAGAAAACCCTTGTATCATCTGGGAGATGATTTCTTCAAAATTTTCCATTTCTAAGCATGGGACAAAGTTATACCTACTCAAAAGGTCAGTTATGGAATCATCAGACCCTTAAGGTTGGAAAATATGTCCAAGATCATCAAGTCCAACTTTTGACTGAACACCACCATGACAACCAAACCATAGGTCTAAGTGCCACGCCCAGTTGTTTATCAAACACTTCCAGGAATAGTGACTCCACCACTTCCCTTGGCAGCCATTCCAATACTTGACAACCCTTTCAGTGGATAAATTCCTGCAGAATTCCTCTGTGTTATAGACTAGAATTACTCTCTTTAAATGACATCAAACTGAATTATAACAAATGATTAAATGAAAGTTAACTGTAAGCGTTTTCCTCACTATAGTCTCAGTGAATATCATGCTAATTCAAACCAGGATTCTTCTACTCTGTGTAAAAGAGGAAAAAGTGCTAAGAGCTTTGCTTGAGGCCTTTATGAAATTCTGAACAATACTAAAACCTAATAGTGGTGAAAGTTTTTTTACTTTTGGCTTAGCAGGAAAGCTTTTCTTGGTGATATTATCTATTCTCTCTGTGTCATTGAACATGCATCATGAAGTTACAACGAACTATTGCAAACCCACACTGAGTGTGCTTCTCTGAGCTGGGATAATGCTATCTTGAATCCTAAAAATTTTCCCTTATGTGTCAAATGGTGGCTTTGCTCTTTAGTAGCCATATGAAGAGGCCTAGGAGATTTGTCAAGGTAACTTTGACAACTGAAGTGAGTAACCTGAAAGTGCTTACAATAATATTCTGCATAACCCCTTAATGTCCAAGAAACATTCCAACCCTGGAAAAGGTACTGCTTACCCTTCCTCACTGATTTTCATACAGCTGGTTTGCAATACTCCAAGCTTAGTTGTCTACCAAATATCTTTTTCCCAACTGTTAGCAAAGAATGACAGGATCTGAAAATTAATGTTATACTGTTTCTGCCAGAGGCTATGGCATCCATCCTCTGCACAAAATAACTAGACTAACCAACCACTTGACTGATTAAGCAATATGGCATCCAGCTCATTTTTCCATAGCTGTATTAGCCTGCAATCCCAACAGGGATAATCAAGTGGCTTTGTCACTGAAGAAAACAGATGAATCTCCAGAGAAATATATGTTGTGGTTAAGACACTTTCTCTCTTTTCCCATCTATCTCTCTCCCTCTATCTCTCTACATGAATACATAAACACTTAAAAATACCTTGGTATTCCTTGAATGGGAGCAACATTGAAGAAAAAAAATATCCCACTCAATTTTCACTTCATAAAAAAGAAAAATATTACACTCAGAGCTTTTATTGTAAGAGAAGGCCTCTTGTATTTCTCAGGATGTGATACTTACTAAATAACACTTAGCACTAGAACTCTATAGAACTAATTCTGCAAGCCAAAAAGCATCAGGAACAAA